TCATGATGCTGTGTGCTCTGAATTTCAGTTTAAAAAAGTACAGAAGTTTGGTGGCATTTGGAACAGGATTTTAGTTCTGCTTCTCTTTCTAGCAAAGTTTACTTAAGAAACCACAAACAAAGCAACAACTTTGTTAGCAGTCTCAGGAAAAAAAACCCCAAACACCAAAAGTGTACAAAAGTAAAGTATATGTTAAATGCTGAAGGTCTGGATCACCAAGTTCTGTTTGAAGTGTAGCTAGGCTGTTGCTATGACACTATGGAAACAGTGTGAAAGACTTTTAAATACACATCTTAATATAAGTATCTAAAAGATACTTGGTCAAACTAGCAGGGTCCTTGGTATTGCTAATCTCACAGCTTTAATACAAGTCGACAGAGGTTGGGTGGGCTGTTTGTATTTGTTCTATGACGGCCATTGTCTTCAGTTTTTTACTTTGTCTTGAATGACTGTAATTCTGAGGAGTAAGTGCAGCTGTTGCTCCACCAAATGCACTGTAAGGATAAACACACCACACTTGTGGTTTGGAGAAGTGATTAGAGTAAGCATGATGAGAAACCTTTCCACAACTGGCACATGCGATACACATATTTACATTCTTGCAACAGAATGCTTTTCGTTGACTAGCACAGCCAAGTTTCATCATAGCTACAACAAGAGCGGCAATATTGGCTTTATACATCACATTCATTCACAGTCCCAGGTCATGGATGATTTTCTTGTGTGATCTGAGTGCCAAAGACACAGGTAAGTGCTTGGCCAATTTAGGCCTAGTAGCAAATAATCACATTAAGGAAGTTTTAGACAGTAAAATTATTGCCAGTTCACCAGGGGGAGTTTACACCCTTTCTATAATTTAGCTTGTTTTCAGAGCTACCCAGAAACTATTTGTACAGGTTTTATAAAATCTTCTCGCTTCAGAGAGGTGACGGTAAAGACACCTGGTACTTGCCAGCAAACTGATTACAGGGGGAGTGGAAGACTGGAAGCTGGCTTTAACTGCTGGTGGTTCGCATGTGTACATTTTGATGAGGGAGATAGTGCTATGACATAGTTTTAGAAAAACCTTCAGCTTTGTGCATAAAGTGAAGCAGTCTGATCTATATTAATAACCTTGACTATTAGATTGTATGATTAAATTGAAATTAAAGTATGTAATGTATGCCCCCTGCTGGATTTTTGAGTATTTTAGTTAAAAAATGCAGAGCGTGTGTGTATATATGACAGTAAATGTGTTTAGCACGAGTGATAAAAAGAACAATATATTAAGTCGGCATACTATATGTTTTACACAGATGGACTGTTTTCTGGCTTTTCTAGTTTCTGCACTGTATTTAAAATTCAGTACTATCTAGGGTGGGTTATTGGCATCTTGATCCTACTTTTAAAGGCTAGATCAATTTGTTCGGTGCAAGATTTTCAAAATAATCTCAGCAAAGACATTACCTACTTTTAAAAGTTAGAGCTTCCCACAGCAGGGAAGTCCTTGAAAGTACAGTAATTGGATCGATGCCTTTCATCGCTTCTCCCTTTGCGTGACATTTCAAATAAAGAGTTTAATCTAAACATATGCTCAAATCAATGCAAACTCTTAGATACATGTAACTAGGTATAAAATACATGGTTCAACCTGTGTCATTAATTATACCTGGCCTGGCTTACAGAGATAGTTTTAAAGTGTCCAAAATAAAAGTTGGCATTGCTTTGTTAGGTGCATTTAAAAGCCACTTTTGGTTATGCTAAAATAGCTCTGTGTCTGGATGAAGCCTCAGTGGAGTTAACATAGAATCATAGAATAGTTTGGGTGGAAGGGACCTTCTAAGGCCATCACCTTCAAAGTCCACCCCCCCGCCATGGGCATGGACATCTTCAACCAGACCAGGTTGCTCAGACCCCATCCAACCTGACCTGGAATGTTTCCATGGATGGGGCAGCCACCACCTCTCTGGGCAACCTGGGCCAGGATTTCACCACCCTCAACATAAAAAATTTCTTCCTTACATCTACTCTGAATCTTCCTTCTTTTAGTTTAAAGCCATTACCCCTTGTCTTGTCACAACAAGAGAGGCCCTGCTAAAAAGTTTGTCCCCATCTTTCTTATTAGGCCTCTTTAGGTACTGGAAGGGGCTATAAGGACTCCCCGGAGCCTTCTCTTCTCCAGGCTGAACAACCCCAACTCTCTCAGCCTGTCCTCATAGGAGATTATTCTGGACACTAGTGGAACATCAGAATTAGGTTAGTCTGCTCTGCAATTTCAGCAACATTGAAAGCAAGCAGTTAATGATCAGCCTAGTCATAGTTTTGCTTTGCCTCATGAATCAGAAGCATTCTGAGTGTCTGTGACCACAGCTTTATATCCCTCCTGCATCAGTTAGCATATATTGTTCATTTTCCTTGCTTGCCTTGCACCCCATTCTCTGCTGCGTCTTGAATCTTTAGGTCCTTCTCCTCTCAGACTAATGGCTTCAGTTCTAATGTCAACCATGTCTTCTGAAGCCTATAGTTTTCTTTGGCTAACTCTGAAATACCTGCATTTTTCTAAAAGACAGCGTTTCTTCAGCTGAAACCCGTTTTTTTCTCCTCTGGAATATATGCAGATTTCTATTTACACAGCAGCTGGCATGAGAGGTGCTGTAGTTACCAGTTTTAATGATCACTGAGAGAATTTAGCTACTGTGAAATTAAAGATCATTTGCAGCTTTCTAGCTGTCACTGCCCTGTATTTGCAGGCAACAATTGCAGTTGCTTCTCACTTTCCTGTCTCAGACCAGCTCAACTTCTTTTGACCAATGCTACTTGCTTCTTTATCACTCTGCAATCTCTTTGAACCTTGTTGGGAACTCTGAGAAACCCTGCTCTGATCTAAACTACATCAGGGCTATATGGAAGGGGCGTAACTGTACCATCTGGGGTAATGCTCTTTTGTCTCCTGCATTTCTTCTGTTTGGCTCCCAATCTCTTTTGTCACAGGGAACAATGTAGTTGCCACCAAGACGGGATATGCTGCCAAGGCTATTTTATGACTGAGATTTTAGATAGCTAGGTACTTCACACGTCTTTCATTTGCTTTCACAATCTTTAAGCATTTCTGCAATAAATCGATAAAAATTACTCTCCGAAGCTGCGGGACCTATCTCAATTAATGTACAAAGAATACATTTTTATTTCCAGACAGATCTTAACCCAGATTGGGTGAAAGGCAGCACCACTGGCTTGTGCACGCCGCGCTGCTTCCACCTGCTGCAACAGCAGAAGGATGCTGGAGGCAGTTACTGTTCCCATAGCAACTGGTTTGTTTACCTCCCAAGCAGCTCTGAGCCACCTCCTGGAATATTTAATCGCACATTTAAAAAGAAATATGTGCTGCTGCTGTGGAGATTGAGGCTGTGAGTTGGGAGCAAACCGCTTCCAGCGAAGGGGAGTTGAGGACGTGGCACCGAGCCAGGGTTTGACCTCGGGAGCCGTCCAGGTTGGGTGCAGCATCGGCCACGAGGTGTGTGAGGGAGAAGGGGGATTGGTTTCAGGGTGCCTGTGCTGGCGTGTGGGCAAAGCTGTGTGTTGCTGAGGAGCATCTGTGTGCATTTGCGGTGTGAAGTTGTCTCAGGAACACTGGATGAGCACTGTGCAAGAACAGGAAAACTGATAATCAAACTGCTGTGACTTTGCGTGTATTTGAGGCATTGGTCACCCTACCAATGTGCTTTGTTCTTTGTTCTGCTTTAGCCCTTCCAAGGCTTTTCCATTTCCTCATTTATCTGCTGTATTTCCTCCTTCAGGCTTTCACGTCCTGTTTTCTCCCTTTGTTTTTCCCTAATGGCCATTACATTTCTTTTTTACAACCTAGAGTTCACCTACCTCTCCAGCCATATTCTTAAAAGGTATTTACTTCTCCGACCTGTGGGAGACTATTTATCTTTAATATTTGTTCACTTTTTCTCAGTTTTCTGTTGAAAGAGAGATGCTAAATCTTGTATAATTATGTATCTTTTACAAGGTTAAGCTGATTAGGTTGGGATGCTTTATTAACCCATTTAAAGTAAAGCTATGCAAATAAAGATTTTGTATTAAATTAGAAGAACAACAAACTGTTGAAAATGGGGTTGCTTGTACATTGTGATAAAGTTAGCTTTGTAAAAGCGATTCTCAAGACCTTACAACCCTATTGGGCAATGCGTTATTTGGAAATGGGATGTATAGCTGAGACCTAACCAAAGAGTAACAGCTGTTCAAGATGTAAGTTAGCTGAGTTAGTAAAATGTTGCAAAACAGGTAGTAATAGATTACTAATGAAAACAAATTAGTAGTACGCATGCATCAAAGCTTGCCAAAGAAGAAAATTCAACTAGCGAACAACTGATGAAGAGGAGGATACGACCATCAGATGAAGTAAACAACCACCAGAGTGACTGTAGTTCCTGAGAAAAGGAGCTAGATAGCAACAAAGGCTGTAGAATAATCGACTTAATGTTTACAGAATGAGTGTGATCATGTTAATGATTTCGAGAAAGATCAATGAATATTTAACACTTTTGTAAATATAAACTTCTTGAAGTCGTCGCTGGTTAGGAGCACTTATGAGGAGAAATCCCAGTGCAACCCCAGCGCTGTAATAAAGAACACCGACCCAACAGTCTCATTGGCTGTTGAGTTCATTTCTATGTTTCACTGTGATTGCCCATTTAGTGATTCTGTCCTTCTCCACAGGTCTCCTTTTCTTTCCCTTCTCTTCTCCCTCCTATCGCAGACAGCCCATCTTCTCCGTTCCCCTTCCTAGCCTCTTACTCTCTCTCATCCTAGCTTCCATTCCCAAATTCTTCTATTTCTTCATTCTCCCATTGCAAACTCTCTTCCCCCACACTTAGCAAAGTCTTGGGGAACCTTGAGAAAGAAGTCTTGTCTTTTCATACCTGTGTCATCTTGCAGGTAAAAGGGGCAAGAATTTTTCTCCCCTCATGGACCTTCTTGGCCTTCTCCCCTTCTTGCTTCTGCAGCCAAATATAATGCTATTCCTCTTTACAGGTTCCACATTCCAAGAACTGACCTGTTTTATATCCAGAAACTTCCCAAAAAACAATGGCCAGACTGTTGCAACCTCCACCCAAGTTTCATCCCTCAGAATGGGACATTGCAAACAAGATGCAGTGTGCCAGCACAGAGTCTCAGAAATCCAGGTCAGAGCGTGTGATAGCTGAGAGCCGGAGGCTGTTGGATGAAATAGAAAAGACAACTCAGAAAACCCAAAGTGATGTCAACAAGAAAATAGGTAATCCCATGTGTTCTGCAAGTGTCAGGATGTGTCATTTGAGTTATATGTTTAAGATGGACTTAGAAAATTAGTTGATAGTGCATAGGAATGAATATATGTCAACGCCACACTCTGCCATATGAAGAAAATTCGTAATATTTTAAAAAATACTTTGAGGAAGATTCTTTATTTTATAACAAATTAATTAGTTCTCCAAAACACACAGAAGGCTATTCCAACCAAACCTCCTGACACAGGGTTGCAAAACTGTCTCCACATATCAGTCTACAGCGCTACATGTGCTCCACTATGGAATAAGTCTGGTTTTAGCCATATCTAAGATCTGACCCACAGTGCTCTTGCATATAAGATGGGCTTGTATTAATACCCGTTTGCAATTTTCATTTGACAGAACAGAGACAGGAAGAAATAAAATTCTGGAAGCAAGAATTAAATAACAAACTTGAACAAATTGTTCATGAGACAGAGATACTGTTGACTTTCAAGACTAGGCTGGAGAAATCTTTGGAGAGCTGTAAAGAGCCACTTGCCGTTGCCCAAAAGTGTCTCCTGAACAGGTGAGAATATTAAGAAAAGCATTCAGGGAGAGGAAAAAAATCTAGGTAATGAACCTTTAACAAATAATAAAAAAGGCTGCAAACTAAGGGCCTGCCTCTCTTTGCAGTGGAGTCACAGTCTGATTTAGGTGGTGTAACACCAGAGAACCAAGGGCATAAAGGAAAAGCTTCCCATGTGGCAAGGAAAAGCTTTCCATTTGGAAAACTGGGATTCATCATATTCTGTTAGCTGCAAGCATTTGAACAATGTGGCTGAAGGGTTTTCCTCTTTTTGTTTAGGCAGAGGCGAGCTGGGATTGACTTGGTGCACGATGAAGTGGAACAGGAACTGGTGAAGGAAGCTGAAGTCCTCCAAGGGGTTATTGCTTTGCTTGAACGTACATTGGAACAAACCAATGAGCAAATCAGGTGCAGAGGCAAAGACTGTAACTGAACACTGATTAGCTGAAAAGTAGGACAGCCATAATCCTGAGAAGTTGTAGGGTCAGGCTGAGCACAGGTCCAAAGTTACTTTCAGTGCTAAACAGTTACAGGAGGTCAGTGCTAATTCACGCCATTTGATCAGTAGTGGTGAGAAGTTCTGTTCGTTAGAACTCAAAATACCTGCAAATGATTCCTGGGCTTCTCATGATCCAGTCCTGTGCCTTTAATTCCAATGGGAATTGTACCATCAATTGATATGGAGGAAGCTTCATGCTCTACACTTTGGGACTTTGCAACTAACAGTCCATACATGAAGAATTCCATAACAGCATTTGTATTACCTAATGAATGTATGCATGCATGTTAGGGACACCTGTGAATGCCTACATTTTGGCTTAGCGTCCGGTTGTTTCTTCTCCTAGACTAAACCGTTCAGCAAAATACAACCTGGAAATGGATCTGAAGGACAAGTTCACAGCTTTGATGATTGATGATTACTGTGCTAGCTTGACAAACAACACTCCTGATATCAGATATGCTGATAATGCAGTGAAAATAGAAGGAAAGTAAGTGGTTATTTAGTTCAATGAACATGATAATTATACAGCTAGGTGTTCCAGTAATAAGGTGTTCCAATAATAGCAAGATTAAAGTAATTTTGTGTAAAACAGACTATATGTGTCCATCATCTGTCTGTTGTAGATAGATTGATTTTTATACTTCTGTCCATCACTTTATTATCTGTGTAGTAAGTCTGTGAAATAAGCCACAGTAATCATGTTCCCAACGAACTGCAGTACTAAAAGTTTCCGAGGCTCTCAGTTAGCTAAGGAAGTATTTCACACATTGTTTAAACCCAGAACAGATTTAGCAATCTAACGTCCTCTCCTCTCCCAGGGTGTCCTAGTGGGGAGGGTGCTGGACTGGGGCACATGAGGTGCGGAGTTAATTTCTGACTCAGTCATTAACCTGTCAAATGTGCCTCTTCTGTGTGGGTTAGCGTGAATGGTTTAGATGGAGAAATAGCTACCACAGAAAAGTGGGCTGAAAAGGAGAAACATACTGAGAAAGCAGTGTGTGCACCTCCCAAGGACACTGTTGGCTCTGCCAGAACTGATGAACTTGGAACACCAAGAGACTGACAGGTCTTGCTGCTAGTACGTTAGCGTGCATCAACAACAGGTTGTATACCTCAGACCACATCCAAAATGGTGTTGGCTGCTATATGCAAATGACAATCGCAGCTTTATGTATCTACCCAATGAAACAAGGAACCTGCTGAGGAACTTTCCAAACACCAGCCTGCAAGCCACTGGTGCACAACTGTGACACTCTAATTCTGGGGCTACAGCTGGGGGTTGCCTTCCCAACTATTGCTCCAACCTGTACCAGTACTGTAAGTGGCTGTCTTATAGGTGGTCAACTGCGTGAAAGAAAAAGTGAATGTTTTGTGTGACTAGTTACCTGCTATTAATAGTAACAGATAAATTATATTAGTAATAACAGCTTGCTTCATGAAAGGTGTTCCAAGAAATATTGGTTATTAGCGTGATTCCCCCACAACAACTTAATCCTTTATCAGAGAAAGGAAAGTTATAGCAAAGTTGCTCTGTGACTTTAGCAAATTAGTTTCCATCCTACCATTGTCTATTTTGTTCTGAAATGTTTGCAACAGAGAGGGTCTTAATTTTGTATTTGTAGAATACACAACTGTCACGTGTAGTTAATAGTACTGCTTTGTTCTTGGTTTTGTGGAGTAATTATATAATTAAGAAGTCACAGAGGGCCTAATGCTGCCAGGTGATGACCTTTTATTTTGAATCTCTTTCAGTTTTGTTAGCCCTGAAGACTGGGTAGATTTCTCAAACATAAATGTTGAAAAGGCTGACAAGCAGAGAAACAATTCTTTGGCACTGAGGGTGCTGATTGATGGCATCCTCTCACAGACAGCGAATGACATACGCAAACAATGTGAGATGGTGAACGTTGCGTTTAGAAATAGGGTGAAGGAAGTCAAGGATGCCAAGCATAAGCTAGAGACACTCCTTGCAATGGTAAGTGAGTGGTAGGGGACAGTCAGTGAAAAGGTGAAAACAATGGGCTTGGGTTATCTACCCATTTTTTCTATCCAGTGTCTTGAGCTACTTTGCTTTAACAATTTTACCTTTGCAATATTGGCAACCACATTCCCCCCCCCAAAAAAAAAAAGTTTTATCCTCTCAGCTCTGTGTGCACTACTACAGAAGTGAATTTCTGGAATCACTGACTTGATGTAGTTGTTGCTGTAGACACCAGTAAAGTCAGGATTTCCTTTGTGATTTTTAGTTACATGGCACTCCTATATAATTTTCACAACTGTGATTTAAGAGCCTAATAACTTATAAAATCAGGGTCAATGTGCTCGAAATCTGATACATCAAAGCTGAGTGTTAATGTTAAAAATTAATTGCTGAGTGTAAATCTCCAGTTTCACTCATAACAGTGTCACCTGCTTTCCAATGAAGGAATCCTAATCCTGGCTGACTTTTGCAAAATATCGTTTGATGAAATAACATTTTAACACAATGAGTGTTACTGTGATTGTTATAACTATTAAAGAAGATTTTGATTATTTCACCTATTGTAAGAAACAGTGTGCAAAACTTCCTTATGTTGGATTTGTTAAGGTGATGGATGAGACTGCCTCACAGGAGAAGAACATTGCAGCCTTAAAGAAAGCAATTGCTGATAAAGAAGGACCTGTTAAAGTGGCTCAAACCCGCTTGGAAGCAAGGAACCATCGCCCCAATGTAGAATTGTGTTACGACACAGTGCAATACAGGTTGACTAGTGAAGTTCAAGAGATTACAAAAAATATTCAGAGGCAAGTGGAAATGATGAAAGAGGGGAAAATCTGTGGTATAGATTCCTGGTTAATCTAATGAATCTCCCCAAAAGGCTGAGAATTGCTTTTCCCTTAAGAGCAGGACACTTAAGGGAAGCTGCGTGGATATTGTCTCTCTGTGAATCCCCTTCCATCTGTTTTTTCACTCAGAATTCTTATCCTATATGAAAAAACCCTATGTATGTATTTTCCACTAATGTCTGTCTGTATTTTTCCTGTTAGATTAAAGGACACACTGGCACAGGCTGAGACAGAGCTGAAAGGTCTGAGCCGCCGACAGCTTTCCTTGGAGGAGGAGATCCAGGTCAAGGAAAATACATTGTACATTGATGAAGTGCTCTGCATGCAAATGAGAGAGTCTTTTTACATTATCAGCTTCTGAAGCCACC